CCGGTTGGCTGGATGGTAAACTCCGTAATCTGCAATTAAACAACATGTAAGATTTACCTATATTTATTAAGAAAAAAGTACTTTAACAAGCATTAGAACCTGAACTTCCGGTCGCGTTCCAAGAGCATAGATGACCGCATCCGCTATGTCTGACGGTTGAAGTTTTGGTAGTTTCTCGATAAAAGCTCTCATTGTATCCGAACATTCAACAATGTTTGTTTTTACAGTACCAGGACTAATACTCTAAAAAAAAATCGAACAAGTAAGAATCCAGAGTAACTATCTACATTGATAAAAAAAAGCGTGCTTGGTAACATTTTGCATATAAAAATAATATAAATTTTTTAATATTTCGATAACATCTAATATTATTTCAATAGATAGGCAATTGTTTACATATATTTACTTATATGAATATCTTATTATCATAAAATGTCTATCCTTAGAAACGTATACGCAGTTTTTGTTTTCCATTGTTATTGCAATCATTATAATGATTAATGTGTTTCTTGATAATTATAAAAGTTATTATTTACATAACATTGAAAAATAAAATAAGTAACAAAAAATAAAAGTTCAAAGTATATCTTACAGTAACTCGAATAGGAGCCTTAATTTCCGCTATTTCGAGTCGTACGGTCTGAGTTAGAGCAAGTGCTGCATGTTTACTAGCAGGATACACATTCATGGGACCCACATTCGGTATTAAATAATGGCCCGCAACACTGCATATAAAAAATATTACTATTAAAAACATGTACTGCAAAGTAAATTAACATTATCATAAAATTTTGAAAAAGATTTTTTACAATCATTTTTCTTGTTCTTGTCTTTCAGCTTACGGAAAATTTAGAAAATGTTGATTTTTCAAAAACTTTATTTTAGTTGATGACTTATTTAGTTTAGTGATTTATGGTTCAACTCTAAGCAGAATCGTAAGTGTCCTTGTTCTCGAAAAACTTAATTGCTAAAAACTTGTGACTGGAATTCTATGCGTAAGATATGATTATTCGTAAGTATCTACGATTTCTCGTAAATCTTATAGCTAGCAAAAAACTGTAAAAATTTTTCGTAAAGTTATAAGTTCTTATAAGTCTTATAAGAACAAGTTATGAATCTGATTCCAGTTAGAATTGGTACATTATTCAACTATTATTAACAAATCAGCAATACCTGATAATATTAAAAATATGTCCTTCGACATTTCGTTTGCGCATCAAACGCACTGCTTTATTCGTACACACGGCAACTGCGAGGACATTAGTATCTAACAGTCTTTCAAATGTTTTCCTATCGCTCTCTGCAAATGAAATTATTAAAATTTTTTTTAAGAGATTAAAACGGAGAAGACCAAAGTCTTTCATTGTAATACTGTCCCATCTCGCCGTTGCGAGATGTGTACGCGATAAAAGTACGAATCTCTTCTTTACAGCGAAAAACATAACACCTTTGCGTAAGAGGCCGTTTCGTTTTTCAACGATCTAAATAACACTTCGCAATCGAAACTAGATTTTTAAATGAGACATTTAATTGGTTCTCGAATTCCTCAAGTTCTCCGATGTTAAACGCATTGACATAAAAAGATATTTTGTAGATACATATATTAATGCATTTCTTTAAATTTTTTGAAATAGATTACAACATTCGTTATTTTCCAAAATTTGTAAATGTATAAGTTCACATTACAAATTAATATATCTTCAGCTGCATAATAGATAAGAGTGAAGTAAAATGTACAACACATATTATATTTTTGTAAAAAGCCATAAAGATAAAGACACAATACACAGTGTGACAAAAAACCACTTTTTTTCTCTCCGAAATGCGATAATATGTT